AGAGAGAGAGAGAGAAATCACCTCTGACGGGATGGCCACACCACAATCCCTTCTCCTCCAGTCTCTTCTCAGGGTTGTGGGACACACACATATATGCGCCCAGCATGAGTTTTAAGTTGCCTGGTTTGGGACTCAAAGGGCAGTTGGCTATGTGTGAGTCCAGCCGTGTAACCATTACATCATCTTCTGGTCTCCATTTTCACCATTTTTAACAATACAATAGGGCACATGCGCTCGCCAGACAGACAGAGAGAGACAGAGAGATAGAAAGTGAGAAATCACCCACCAGAGGGGATGGTCACGCCGCAATCCCTTCTACTTCATTCTCCTCTCGGGATCTTGGGCACGCACGCACACACGCCCGGCATGTGTTTAATCCACCGGGTCCAGGACTCAAACCACGGTCGACTACGTGGGAGTCCAGTGACATAGCCATTATGCTAACTGCTGGTCCCAAGTATATCTTTTTGTACAACTATCACTACCATATATTTCCTGAACTTTTCCTTTTTGAATTAGGAAATATTTCTGGGTTTTATTCATAAAATTATTAGTCAAAATTGTAAAAGCAGACTTACAGTCAGTAACAAAATGGGGTGGGGGGTAGACACAATGTTTCAGAGACATCTTAGAAAATTCCAAAGAAGTACACACCAAGCTAAAAATATGTAGTTACATCATGATTGCACAACAGGTTCTATTCATTCCTGCATGTTCTCAACAAGTTCTTATATTTGCCTTTATTCTTTCGAATTTGTCAAGACTTGGCTTTGCATTCAAGAATTTGTTTTTGATCTTTGTCCAGTTCCAGGTGAATGGCCATGTGGAAGGTTGTGCCATTAGCCTTCTCATGCTGTACCTTGTTCAATGTAGATGACATATTTCTTTCTTCAAGCCTGGACTACCTTGCCAGTGTGCTGACCTTTGTAGTGTCCTTGAACCACCTGGACTTTGATGTACTTGTGGATGAGCATGGAACAGACATTGTATTTCAGCTGCATTTCCTTGGAGAGGGGATGATGTGATCTTCCTGTGAGGGGGAGAAGGGACATTAATAAGTGGTATTTGAGGGTCTGGCTATGGTCCAGGTCCCAAAGGGGTTGAAGTTCATGGTGAGTACAACTGGGCACCAGTGAACTCAAGTGCTGTGTGGGAAAGACTGGAAATCCCTCCTGAACTTTCTCATCTCCCACAACTGAAACCTTGTGCCCATTAAATGCTGCTTCTCATTTCCCCATCTTTTCAGCCCTTGAATACCACCACGCTACTTTTTGACTAACAAAAATGAGTACATGTCCTTTTGTAACTAGTTTATTTCACTTAGGAAATTGTCTTTAAGGTTCATTCATGTTGGGGCTTAAGTCAGAATTTCTTCCTTCTTAAGGCTGAATGATATTGCATTGTATGTATGTATCACATTTTGTATCATTCATTTTTCAGGCACTTGGGCTGCTTCTACCTTTGACTACTGTATATAACATTGCAAAAAATCATATATCTACAAATATCTATTCAAGACTCTGTTTTTGGGACCAGCAGCTAGCGTAATGGCTATGTCACTGGACTCCCACATAGTTGACCGCAGTTCGAGTCTCGGACCTGGTGGCTTAAACTCACGCCGGGTGCATGTCTGTGCGTGCCCAAGATCCCGAGAGGAGAATGGAGGAGAAGGGATTGTGGCATGGCCATCCCCCCGGTGGGTGATTTCTTGCTTTCTATCTCTCTATCTCTCTCTGTCTGTCTGGCGAGTGCACGTGCCCTATAGCAAAATCCTCTCCAAAAAAAAAGAAAACCTAAAAGACTCTGTCTTTGATTCTTTTGAATATAAATTTAGAAGTGAAGTTGCTGGGTTATATTTTAGTCTTATTTTTAATTTTTGAAGAGTCTCAGTATTATTTTTCAAAGTGGCTGCACCATTTTACATTCCCCAAAATAAGGCATAAGTGTTCCAATTTCTCTTTATCCTTTCTAAATACTTGCTATTTTTCTGGTTTTGTTTTTTCTTCTTTTTAAAAATGGTGGTGATATTAATGGGTATGAGATCATGTATTATAGTTTTAATTTTCATTTCTCTAATGATTAATGAGGTTGAACATTTTTTATGTTTGTTGGTCATTCATATATCTTCTGAAGAGAGACTTCTTCAAGTTCTTTGCCCATTTTTAAATTGGGTTATTTGTTTTGTTGTTGGCGTTGACTTGTGGCAATTCTTTTTATATTCTGGACATTAATCTCTTATGAATGTATGATTTGCAAATATTTTCTCCCATTCTGTAGATTGTCATTTCACTTTGCAGGTTGTTTCCTTTGTTATATGGAAGTTTTAAATTTTATATAGTCTCACTTATCTATTGTTTTATTTGTTGTCTGTGCCATTCTAGGCTTTTGGAAGCCCAGGTGCACATTCTTCCATTCAGCTACATTCAGAGGATGAATATCATCGAATACATACTCAACCCATAAAATTGACTTTTTTCCCCATTCTCTGAAAGAGAATCATTTTGCAAGGACCAGGCAGGAAAATCCTCTTCATCTTTTGGCTGAAAAGCCAGGGAACTATTCAACTAGTGTCATATGATGAAAGCTATTTTCTTCAAATTTGAATATGTAGATGGTGAAGTGGTTTTGATGAGATTCCTTCAGAATAGAACATTTTTGAAAATATGCAGGGGCTCTGTAAGCCTTTAATTCTCTCTCTCTCTTTCTTTTTCTTTTTTTAAAGAAAGGTTTTTGCTATAGGATGTGTGCACTCACCAGAAAGACAGACAGAAAGTGAGAAATCACCCCCCAGGGAAGGATGGTGACACCACAATCTGTTCTTCTCCATTCCCCTCTCAGGATTTTGGGCATGTATGCAGACGCAACTGGTGTGAGTTTAAGCCACTGGATCCGGGACTCAAAATGCGGTCAACTATGTGGGAGTCCAGTGATGTAACCATTACACCATCTGATGGTGCCTCAACCTCTTTTTTTTCTTAAATTTCTTCTTCATTTTATGTTTCTTTTCCCCATAGAAGTGAGTAAAAATAGCAAAATTTCCAGTTGAATTAGAATTAGAAATGAATTTTTTCTCTCAACTTGGCATTCTTATCTAAGCAAAAACTATCCTTGTACTATTTCATGGCTTCACATTCTTTCTTGAGCACAGGTCCAAGTCTAGTGACTGTATGGTTACTTGGCCCTGATCTAAGTCATGCTGCTAAATCTGAGTTTCATGGATATTAATATTTTTGAGTCTCAGAATTTTTGGAATGTCATTAAACATAAATGAGTATTTATTTGTACAAGTTGATAGGGGCCTTTCCTTTTGTGTCATTTGTCTGCTAAGTGTCCTCCAGATCATCTCCTCCAAGGCCAGAGATTCTGTTTGGCAAATTCAATATAAACCGTCAAATCTCAATGTGATTTTTATTTTTGTCTTCCTCTGTGTCTTCAGTATGTCTATTAATAGTGACTTCTTAATCTTCATTGCTGTACCTCCAATGTGACCTCCGGTTAGTTTTCTTTCACTTAAAATCTTACTCTTTCTGGTTCTTTCATGAGCCATTTCTTCATTTACATATTTTTGACCCTGGGATATTTCAGGATTCCTCCCTGGAAGGACTCCAGGTGTGACAACTCCCTTCTGGGAATCCTTCAGGCCGTAACTTGCAGGCCCAGAAATTTTTGTTTGGCAAAGTTCAACAAAAACACTAAAATCACAACATGTGTGTGTGTGTGTGTGTGTGTGTGTGTGTGTGTGTTTTCCTCTGAGCCGTCTATACATCCATGAGTAGTGACTGCTTAATTTCCACTGTGGCTATCGCTGATGTGACCACTGTTAGTCTTCTGTTTGTCAGTTAATCTTTTTCTCATTAGTCCAAGAGTAGCTTCCTTGGGTACATATTTTCAACACTAAAAATACTTCAGGATGTCTTTCTTATAGGACTCATGGCCCTTTCCACTGGATATAGGGTGATTTTCTTATATAGTCATGAGACATTCCAACATCTTTACACAATTTTCTCCAAAATTGTCTCCAGGATAAATGGTCACAACAATCATTCTATTGTTCATGAGTGTCTCTGTAATCAGGTGTGTTATCTCCAGCTCCTCAGCAATTTATTTTTAAACAATGGCCCAGTTTGTCTTTGTATCCAAATGCTATGGGCAATTGCAGTGCCTCCATCAGACTTTCACTGTGCCGGAGTTCTGCCTTCTGGCCCACCCACTGCTGCCACTCCTGTGCAGCTCCTATGGCAACTAAATCCAGTCACACAGGTGAAGGAAGGGCTCATTTTCTTCTAATGTGCAGAAGTTTTTTCCTCTCATTGTCTAGCAGTGTTGCACACAGGATTTAGAAACACAGTTAGGGACCAGCAGGTGGTGTAGTGGATAAGGTGCTGGACTCCACATGGCCAACCACGGTTTGAGTCCCAGGTCTGACAGCTTGAAACTCATGCTGAGCACATGTGTGTGCATGCCCAAAATCCTGAGAGGAAAAGGGATTACAACATGGCCACCCCCCTGGACGTGGTTTCTCACTTTCTTGCTCTCTGTATTTTTCTGTGTCTCTAGGGAGTGCATGTGCCCTATAGCAAAAATCTCTTGGGGTGGGAGGGGGGGGAGAAGAAAAGAAAAGAGAAAAGGAAAAAGAAGAGAAACACGTGTAAAATTTCAGTTAGATGAATTCTTGCTGTTTGAAAGTTGATTTAGGTTGAGTTCTTCATAGACCAGAGTTTTCCAGACTTTATTTCTATACCATATAGATTTTCCCTTGATCCATATATTGCCGCTAATATTATTTATTTTACTTAATTTTTAAAAGATGATCTTTGTGGGAAGCTGCACACCAGCGAGTCTGCTGAGGTTTCTCAGAGAGCAAACAATTACCATGATTGGTTACCTTCCAAAAACCTGACCTTCGAAACCTTGCTCTGATTGGCCACTAGAATCCCTCAAATTTGCATATCTGGCACCTCATGATTGGTCCAAAAGCAACCAATCATAACCCACCGTTAACAACCAATCACAGCCCACTGTTTACAACCAATCACGGCCCACCATTTACAACCAATCACGGCCCACCGTTTACAACCCACCAGAGTGTATATAACCACGATGCCTGGCCCATGTAACACTACATCGTCTCCGGACGACCCTGAAGAGCTGTGATACCACGTCGTCTCCGTGCTGCTCACAGTAGACGACGTGACCCTTAAGAACTGTGACACTGCGTCGTCTCTGTGCTGTACCGTGCTGCCCACAATAAACGGATGACACTGTCGTCTCCGTGTTGTAACACTACGCTGCTTGCCCCGGCTCTCACTCCTTCACTCAGGAAACCTGTTCGGCTGTCCCCCCCGGGTCGGGACAGATCTTAAATACACTCATAAAATTCTTTTTACCAATTCTGAAATCATTTGTTTGACACACATTAAACATACAACTTTAAAATAAAAATTTCATACGACCTAAAAAGATTTTGGGTGTCACCAGATGAATGTATACCACACATCACTTCTCTGTTTTCTCAGTAACATTTCTTAGGTGTTGCAAAGACACCTCAAATTCAGCTCAAAGCCTAGGACTTACCAACCTCAGTCATCCTCACAAAACTCTCCAGTGCCTCTGATTTTACACCATTCTCAAACCAGCTTCTCAAGTTGGAAACCCAGAAATCATCCTTGATCTTGTACCCCGTTAACATACCTTAATCTGTCATCAAAACTTGTCAATTTTACCTCCTAGAATTTTACATCTGACTCCATCCTACTCTGAAATAAAATAAAGTTGGTCTTAGGCTACGACAATTGCCTCCTGACCAGAATTCAATGCTGTTTCAGTCACCCTCAAACAAGTACTAAACACTGTAACCAGAGTGCTTGTTTCAAAGAACCCTTGTGCACTTCCAGCTTAGTTTCACTCAACGTTCTTAGTCATTCTCTTT